GCAGGCCCCGCCCCAGACCCCACCCTTCTGCTGCTCCAGAGAATCCTCATCTGGGAGCACCACTGCCAGGGTCACAGCCCCAACACACCGAGTCACACCCTGCTGCCCCCTCCCCACCCCGGGGCACCCACTCCCCCAGCCTCACAGACACCTCCACAAGCCCTGCTGCAGGGTCGGCACAGTCCAGCAATGCGCCCAGGAAGACAGGCCCTGGCAGGAGCTCCATACCCACGGGCAGGGCCAGGGTGTTGGGAAGCGTCCGCGTGCAGTAGAACATCAGGTGGAACTGCGTGGCCGTCATCCAGCAGAACAACGTGGCCACTGTGGCCCCAAACTGTCTCCTCACTTCCTGCTGTAGCATCCAGAGAGCTCCCACAACACCAAGCCCCAGGGTCCCTCTCACTGCAACAGAGGAAGGAGAGTGCTCCTGATGACAGAACATCCCTCCTCCTCATGACCCTGAGGGTGGGAACAGGCACCTGCTCCCAGCCCAAGCCCAGCCCCCCCCCCCCGACCCACCCTTAGTGTGAGCCTGTGGTCCCTGGAGGGGTCACAGCCCTGCCTGCAGCCTCCTATGGCCAGGAACACTGCTAGTGTCCATTCAGGTGCCTCCAGCCTGCGTCATGCCCACTCCAGGCACCATCCAGAACTGAGTCCTGTGCCACCTGGGTGGGTGGTGTGGTGGCAATGACCCACTTGGAGACAGGAGACTGGGAGAGACCATGGCCTCCACCCTAGCCAGTCCCCAGACAGGTCCCGCCCTCTGGATGGGCTCACCCTGGGGCCTGGCTTGATTGGATGGGCTGTGCTTTTGTCTCCTAAAGTGTCCTCCAAGAACCACTTCCTCCCCAGAGATCATTGAGGCTCAGATGGGCACAAGGAGACGCCAGAGGGTCTGCATCAGGAGCAGGCTGTCAGCTGGGGAGGCTGTGATGGGGCATGGTCATCACATCCCAGTATAGCCCGAGGAGGGCAGAGAGCGGCTCAGGCTAGCCAGCTACGCCTCATGCCATACCCAGGGCCTGCAGGTCAGCCTGCACCTCTGTGGGGAACTGTGGGTCCAGACAGCAAACACCCCAACAAGAGACCTCCCACAGCAAGCTCCAGTCACCATTTCCCACGTGGTTCACACTCACAGATCAGCGTACCTATGAGCTGGGAGTAAAACTTGGAGGCTTCCAGCAAAGACAGCAGATAAACTGCAGGGCTGGAGAAGGCAGCAACAAGCAAGGGTCCGAGGAAGGTTCTGGGGACAACGCCAGGGAACTCATGATGGTCGTACTGCAGAGACAGCGAAGCAGCCCCATGATGGACAGCCGTGGGCACCAGGTCCCCAGCAGCGCCCTCCCCCAGGCATGGTGCTCACCTTGTTCAGGTCTAGCCGGTGGTAGAGGAGGTCATGCACCGCCTGCAGGCTGAAGCTCTCTTCCACCTTGGTGTAGGGACAGGTGACCAGGTGCACAGTAGCTACTGCCACCAGCAGCCCCAGCAGCAGCAGGCCCTGCTGGCCCGACGGCCTTCTCCCAGCCATTCCGAGTCTCAGGTGTCACCTACCTGAAAGAGCCAAAGGTTCCAGATCCAGCCACCAGACTGGACACCACCTGGCTTGTATGGGTGGGCAAGAACAGTCCCGGTGCACTGCCCAGTCCCTGCGTCAGCAGAGCCTGGACCCGGGGATCGCTCAGCAGATGGTATGTGGATCTCATTCATCAGTCTGTTTTCTGCAAAGCAGACATGAGACGAGTCTGTATGAAGATGCGGTGGGCCTGCTGGAGCAAATGCCACAACACACTGTGGACAGCTGCCCCAGAAGAGGCCTGGCCCCACAGATGGGCTGAGAAGGGACGCCCTGACTTAGGGCACATGAGTGGGGCAGGCTCATCACCCCTAATGTGCTGCGAAGGTCACTGCAGAGCACCTGCCAGCCCAGGTAACCAAAGGCCAGTCCCCACCCACTACCGTTTAGTCCCTAGTGACTTACGTGAACCTGGGGTAAGGGGTACAATGCTGTAAATGGTAATGGAAGAACGTCTACCTTTCTGCCTCAGACAAGCTGGTGGGCTTGAACTGCTGATCTTTTGATTAGCAGCCCAATACTTAAGCCACGCCTTCAAGAGGTTTGGAGAGCAGGCAGCAAAGAGAGCAACCGTTGCTGGCTCCTGCAGGGTCCCTAACTCCTGGGACATGCCTGGGCCAGAGTGTGCCTGTGTGCATAGGGCCGTCAACGGCCTCCTCTTCAAATGCATTTGTGGTCCCTCCAAGGCCCTCAGCAGTTTTCACGACCCAGGGGCTCCAAAACAGGCATGAACCCCAAACCCTATGGCCATCCGGCAGCTACAGCATTCCTGGACACAAGCAGCGCTGCCCCGGGCGGGGTCAAAGGCTGTATATCCTTGGAAGCATGCTGACCTTTCTTCGCAGATGATGAGTTCAAACCCCCATTCATTTGTTTAACAGCCCAATGCTTAACCTACAGTGCCACCAGGGCTCCTAACAGAAACTAAGATTCAACGGGGGAGGGCGGAGCAGAGGGGGAGGATGGGCAGGGGGTAATCATAGGGTCGCACAATTTGATGGATGGACGGGGGTGGGCGGGTGAAGGAAATGGGAAAGATCCGGTGTAATACAAAATGTATACGAATTGTATATAAACCAGTACAAACTAAAAATTATAAATAAACACAACAACAACAAAATAACCAACACCACCTATACTCCAGGCAAGAGACGGCGAGGGTAGAGGGGGTCGCCCTGCAAGAGGCCGCCGCCGACTTGCTCAGGAGCAAGGGCGCACTGCAGGGTACACGCAAGTGCAGGGCTTTATCGTGCAAAGGTTCAAGCGCTCTAACCCACCCGTCCCTCCGAGAGGGAGGGCTGTAGGGATCGGCTCCCCGAGCTGACTGTCCTGAAACCCTGTGCGGCAGTTCTCTGACCGGGGGTCAGGACTGACTCCGTGGCAACCGGTGTAAGACAGTGACTCTACTAGGAGAGCTCGGGTAAGAAGCTGCGGGACAACCCCGAGGCGCGAAGTTCCAATCCACCAGCAGCTCCGCGGACCAGAGGCAACCTCCTCCCGAGCGACTGACCGCCCGAGGGTCAGCTAGGGGTCGGTTCCGCAAAGCACCACCACCACCCAGATGTACAAATTACCTACAAAGGCCCCATCAACTCAGACGCTGAAGCTTTTCATGAAATTGTGCAGATGAAGACAGAGTTCACGACCGGAAGTGGGCTGACGCGGCCGCGCCGACACTGGGCGACCAGGGCAGCCCGCAGACGGAAGCGGGCGGCAGAAACAGGGACCTGGACGGCGAAGCCCCTGCCCGAACTCATCATGGCCTCCTAGAGCGCAGGCTGGTGGTGGTGAGCGCGCCCTGCCCGGAATAAAGATGGCCGCGGGGGGGCGGGCCCGGGGGCGGGGCGGGAGGAAGGACCCAGACTCCTCCGCCCTCCGCCCGCCCCCTGCCGGCAGGACGCTGACCCGGGGCCTTCTCATTGGGCCCTTCTCGTGGCGAATTCGGATTGGACCACGTGAGGACGGGGCGGGGCCCAGCGGCCAATCGCGGCGCGCGCACTGGCGGCTGGGCGGGGCCTCGCCGGCGCCGTGAAGTAGCCCCGGGAACGGCCGGCACCGCTTGGAGCCGGTGGGCGGGCCGGGCCGGGGTCGCGGAGTCGTTGGCCGGGCCCGCGGAGCCATGCGCCAGCCTCCTGCCGCCGCGCTCGGCCTGCTGCTGCTGCTGCTGCTGCGGCCCGCGTCTCCGGCCGCCAGGAAGCCGACGCCCTGCACACGGTGCGGGGACCTGGTGGACAAGTTCAGGCAGGTGGGCCGGGGTCACCCCGAGACGGGCCGCGTCGTCCCGCAGTGGGGCTCTGGGAGCTCCAAGTGACCAGGTCTAGTGTCGTGAAGACCCCAGGGCTACAGCCAGCCCGTCCCGGGGGCCAGGGTCACCCCTGTGATGGGAGCCGAGGTCCGAGGGGCTGGGGTCACCCCGTGATGGAGTCCAGGTGCCAGGATCGCCCCTGTGATGGGAGCCGAGGGGCTGGGGTCACCCCTGTGATAGGAGCTGGAGTCCAGGAACTGGGGTCGCCCTGTTGTGACAGTTAAGGTTACCCTGTGCTTGGGTCCCAGGTGTCAGGGTCACTTCTGTGATATGAGCTGGAGTCCCAGGGGCTGAGGTCACTCCATCATGGAATCCAGCTGCCAGGGTCACCCCTGTGCTAGGAGCTGAGGTCCCTGGGGCTGAGGTCACCGTGTTGTGACAGTCAGGGTTACTCAGTGTTTGGGCCCCAGGGGCTAGGGTCACTCCATGATGGAATCCTGGGTGCCAGGGTCACCCCTGTGACAGGAGCTGGAGTCCCAGGAACTGGGGTCACCCTGTTGTGACAGCTAGGGTTACTCTGTGCTTGGGTCCCAAGTGTCAGGGGCACCCCTGTGATAGGGTCCCAGGGACGGCGAAGGATCTAGGGTCCAGGGTGACCGAGTTGAGGTCATCACTGACAAGGGATCCAGAACCTGAGGTCTGGGCAAGCAGCCTCCAGCACACAGCCCCTGTCTACAGGGAATGGTGGACACAGCCAAGAAGAACTTTGGCGGTGGGAATACAGCCTGGGAGGAAAAGTCGCTGTCCAAATATGAATTCAGGTGAGCACCCTGTCCACCCTGTCCCTGTGGTCCCCGGGTAAGCCCCTGCAAACACCCCACAACTGCCGTGCTGAGCACAGGGTCCCTGCTGTGGCCTCCTCTGCTCAGAGCTGCGGTCACCCCTTCTGTACCTCTTGGGGCGTTAGCACAGGGCTGCCACCTTACTGGGCCGCCACCTGGGGTGCCCCAGTTCCAAACAGCCTTCCAGGTGTGTGGCTCTGGGTGCGCGTGTCTCAGATGGCGACCCTGCCTTTCAGTGAGATCCGGCTGCTGGAGATCCTGGAAGACTTGTGTGACAGCAGCGACTTCGAGTGCAACCGCATGCTGGAGGAGCATGAGGGCCACCTGGAGGACTGGTGGCTGCGGCTGTGAGTGTCCGGTGGCCCTGGTGACCGTGGGCGGAATCAGCACAAGACTGTGGGCCCTGAGGGAGGCCAGCAGGTGGCCTCGACTCGCTGGTAATGAGGCTGAAGGCCTGGCCGTGCTAACCCACAATCGTGGAGCCCTTGTTCTGGTGTGGGACCCGCTGCCCTGCGTGCTGACCACGTTGCTCCTCTGGTCAGGACCGGACCCTGGGCTTTCTTCATTCCTCAGGACCTTGGCCCATCTTAAGACTCCTAAAGCTGCCAATTCTGGTTACTTCGACCTGCAGTCCCCCATGTGTTTAACTGGAGGGCACTGGTCCTCTCTCCTGGAGCTGCTGGTGGATATGAACTCACAACCTTTCTGTTAGCGCTATGTCACGTAATAGGGCGCATGCCACGATGGCTGCCAGGGCGAGAGGTTCTGTGGATGTCTCCAAACAGACTGGGTTCTGGAAGATTCCACCCACACTACGTGGCACGGGATGACACCACTGTATTAGGGCCTGACTTGGTTCCTGTTCGCAGGCAGAAGGAGTCCCCTGACCTGTTCACGTGGTTCTGTGTGGAGACCCTGCGTGTCTGCTGTTCTCCGGGGACCTTTGGGCCTGACTGTCAGGGTATGCCATCCCCAGCACGTGCTGGCAGGTCCCGCGGGGAGAGGGCTTACGGGTGTGAGTAAGGTCCCGCGGGGGAGATCAGTGCTCCTGACGACGTGTATGGACCAGACTCCGCAGCCACGCCTGGTGAGGAGACGGCAGAGGCCTGGTCTGCTGAAGCGGGATGGGGTGAGGAGGGGTGAAATAGCGGCCAGCACCAAGGATCCCGCTCCCAGGGGGATGGACCTTGCCCTTCACTCTAGGGACTCGTCTCCTTGGGCCATCCCCAGGCATCTTGAGCCAAGTGTCCATCCAACTCCTTTGGGGTTTCTGTTCCAAGTTACAGCCCTCCAGCCCTGTGGCCCCCTGGGGACTGCCCGTTCCCTGAGTGCCCTCTGCACACCTCGAGGACGGCAGTGCTCATGGGGGTAGCAGGTGCTAGATGGCTCTCAGCCATGCACGTGGCTCCCTATGACTGCCGCAGGTTCAGGGCAGAGGTCAGTGTGCGCCGTGCCACGTCCTTTGTCAATCATCGCCGAAGTCAGACACAGGGTCTGTGGGGACCGTGTCCTTTCGGCTTTGAGCTCAGCACTGACATCAAAGGTCCTTGTGTTTGGGCTTCCAGGGAGTATACCAGGCTCCTGGAAGTCTGTAGGTCTCACACTCTGTGCTGGGGGCCTCTCTACCGTCGCCAAGCCTGCAGGCCCATGTGCCCACAGAGTCACTCGTGTCTCGGGGCCATGGCTGGTCAACAACTGGACATGAGCACCTGTCTCCCTCCACAGAGTGCCCGGGCGGGGCTGAGCAGCCCTGCAGTGGGAACGGCCACTGTGACGGGGATGGCAGCCGGCAGGGGGACGGGTCATGCCAGTGCCACGTGGGCTACCGCGGGGCGCTGTGCACGGACTGCATCGACGGCTACTTCCGGGCCGTGCGGAATGACTCCCACGTCGTGTGCACAGGTGGGGCTCCTGGCCAGCTGGCTGCGTGCTTGTTTATACTCCCCAAATCCGACTGCCCAGCTTCCACACGTGGGAGGGGCTGCGGACCAGCACCTGCGACCTACTGTCCCTTTCAGTTTGTAATGAGGCCTGCAAGACGTGCAGCGGCCCCACCAGCAGGGATTGTGAGGACTGCGAGGTTGGCTGGGCACGCAGACAGGACGCCTGCATAGGTGAGCCCCCACCCCAGGGCAGCCCCACCTCTCAGGTCCACTCTGAGCCTTGACCCCAGGATAACCCCAACTCTCGGGTCCACTCTGAGCCTTGACCCCAGGCCAGCACCCATGTCTTGAGTCTACTCTGAGCCCCTTCATCCCAATCCATACCCACCCTTTAGGTCTGCTCTGAGTCCCCCAATTCTACAGCAGCCCCTCCACCAAGAGGGGTCCTTTGGCAGACCCAAGCACCCCGCCTTGAGGCTCCCTCCCCGCCGTGTCTGGCTCCCACCTCTCAGGTGGCTTGTGACGGCTGTGGGTGCCTGGTGTGAGCCAAGATGGGGAGCCCCCCTCCTTCTGTGGGACGTGAGTGGGGGACTGAGGCGCTGATCAGGTTCAGTTGGTGGCAGGACATGGGCAGGTTAGGCAGCTGTGATGGACCCAGGAGTTAGAGGGACAGGAGGGCTCATAGCCCAGGACCCCCAGACAGTGATTGTGGTGGGGGGATGGGGCCCAGGAGCTCGGGATGGCAAGTGCATGGAGGCTCAGGACTCCTGGATGGGGTGAAGGGGTCGCCCAGGACTCGAGGGCCAGGAGTGCATGGGACACAGGACTGTGACGGTGGGTGCTGGGGTCCCAGGATCGTGGGGACGCGCCCGGCTTCAGTTTCACCCTGCGGTAACTGCTCATCGTAGCCAGGTCCCCACCCTGTGCCACGTCTAAGGTAGGGACAGTGGCTGTAGCAATAGTGCCTCATCCCAAGGCGGGCCATGGGGCCTCTGGGGGCTGGGCCTGAGGAGGGCTAGGTGCTGCCATGTGGCTGCCGCTGTCCCTTGTCCTGGATGACCTTGAAGTTGCCCCTCCACACACCCCCGTTTGGCTCTGCTCATCCTGTGTATTCCCACTTTCCATTCTCCACCGATCCCCCCGCCCACTCCTCACATCCTGCACTTCTGACAGCATTCATCTCACGCCCCGTACCTCCACCCCTCATGCTGCACCTTCCCCACCCGGCACTGTGCACCTCTGACTGGGAGTCCTCACCGTGCCCCACCCCACTGACCACCCACCGCGCAGGCGTCTGGGCCCTGGTTTCGGGCTCTGGGTCCACGTCCCCTGCACTCTGGCAGGCCCACGGCAGGTGGTTTTCAGAAACAATTGAAACTCCTGCTTCACCCGTGCTTTCATAGGAAGTGAGAGGACGGCCCCTTTCCGGGTGGCCTGAGGCCGTGGGGGGTGGGCCCGGGGCACCCACTCGGGCACATCTGTTCCAGATGTGGACGAGTGTGAAGAGGAAGTGTCCCCCTGCGGCGAGAACGAGTACTGTGAGAACGTGCCTGGCTCCTACACCTGCGAGGGTGGGTCCCCTGCTGCAGAGGGGTTCCCTGTCAGGAGGGTGGGGAGTTCCCCTTCTGGAGGGGTGGGGTCTCAGCCCAGGGGGCCGTGCTCACACCCAGTGCCCACTGCTGCGTAAGTGCTGCCCTCAGCTTTTTCTCAGGCTCGTGAGCGGGACTGGTGGCCTTTTATTTACATGTCTTGAGGCTCCAGAGCTGGGGTGCCTGGACAGTGGTGAGCAGGGAACCCTGCACCCCACGAGCGGCAGCGTGCTGAGCTGGTGGGTGTCCGCCCACATGCACGCTCCTCTGGGCCACTCTGTCTCAGGCCCATGTCCATGGCCTGCGACGTACTCCACATCTTAGGACGCCTTTCCCACTTGTTGGACCCTTAAGTGCCTGGGGTTTTGGTGGGGGTTCCCCAGTTTTAAGCTGACACAGGTGAGGCCACCTGGCAAGAATCCCCAATGGCAGCTGTAGGGCGTGAGCTAGTGTCCTGGGCTCTGGTCTGTAGCTTGGAAACTCCACTGTTCCCATCACAGAGGAGGGAGGCTGTGAATGGCTCCTCCTGTCAGTAGCCGCCTCTCAAACTCCACTCCACGCTGAGCGTCTGCAGCAAACAGCCCATGGGCTGAGGACAAACTTGCGCCCTATGCTTCCTGGACAGAGAGCCCAGCAACCTACTGGCCCTGGTCTCTGCCCAGGCCTCACCCCCGTGGGTGATGGTTGGGGTTCAGCCTCCTGTCTATATGTGGACCCTAGTTCAGACGTTTCCACTGAGGCTGCATGTTCCCCCATGAGGGTGCGGCCTCTGGCTGGCTGATGCCCACCCTGCGAGAGCGGGTCCGTCCTCACATCCTATCCTGTCACATCTCATCCTGCGTGTACAGAGTGTGACCCCACGTGTGCAGGCTGCACGGGCAAAGGGCCCCAGAAGTGCCTCGCTTGTGTGTCCGGCTACGCCAAGGAGGAGGGTGGACCCTGCACAGGTGAGAACTGGCATGAGGGCGGCAGCCCCCGGGGGCCTCGCCGGGTCGGGGTGGGCAGCTGGCCACGTCAGAAAGGAGATCCCTGGGCAGACGAACAGTGCTGTCCGACGGCAGCTTGTGGACACTGCTGCTTCGCTGGATTGGCCTGGCCGGTGGGGCTTTGGCCGTCTTGTCAGCAACGGGCTGCAGCTTCTGGGGCAGGACCAGCTCTGAGACCTCCGCAGAGCAGGTGCCCTTTCACGGTTCACACTTCAGGCCGTGCCCCTCCTGACCTCCACTTGCCCTCTGACGTAAACCATGTGCGTCTTAAGCACGGCCGTGGGTGCTATCGGATCGTGTGATCTGTGTCTGTGGACACCTGTGCTCGTTTAGTGACTTAGTGTGACGTCCACCTGCCATCCCTGTGTGTATATCACTGGACGTGAAGCTGTGTGTGACGTCCTGTCTGTGTATATCCCTGGACAAAGTGCTGAGTGTGACGTCCACCTGGCACACCACGAGTGTTATATCCCCAGACATGGTGCTGAGTGTGGTGTCCACCTGGCGT